CCTGTTATCGGGAATGGTGGTCATCATAGCCAAGTGACTTAGTAATGCACTTTTTTCTTATTATTTTTGCACACAAGCGACATTTTTCTACAGTTCTCTTAACCCACACCTGATAGTCCTGTTCCTTCTTATACCTCCATCTCAGTTGTACGCTTCATTTTGAGACATTACCTATATATGTGGAATCAAATTAGGTTGTGAACTTGCTGGCCTCTTGTTTAGTGTCTTTTGTACATTCCCTTGGTTTGGCTTGTTGTTGGTGTTTCATAATTGCTACTTGCTATTCACTGAAGCAAGAATAGTTATATACAGTAAAGCAAGAGAGAGTGCCTCTGAAACTGCCTTCTCCAACCGTGTGCCTTCTGGATGCTTAGAACTTCAATCCCTGCTACCCTTAGCCAGCATGGCAGATTGTCAGGGTTGCTGGGAGTTGTCACCCAAACATCTGGGGGACAGCAGGTTGAGGAACACTGATCCAAGGCAAATCTTTTGCCTCTTTAAGAGACCTGAAGCAGGAAGACCTTCTAAATGCATTTCCACTTGTGACTGATGGGATCAGATTGACCCAGCAGCACTTATTCCTGAAAGAAATCAAAGGTGCATTTGAAGTTCAAGTATGGAAAGCTACATACTTTCCATACTACATACATGGACAATGCCATGTAAACCTCTTGCAACATCACCGCACTCAGATATTTCTACACCGGGCAGCATGTTTGAAGGAAACTGTGTCAAAGGAAGGCTATGAGGCTGATCTGCTCCACTGGATGATGGCCCGAGAATACAGGCAGATTGTTATTTTACAATGCAGGCATCTGAATGCACATTTTGGGCCACCCTACCTTTCTCTAGTAACTGGGGGCGGGAAGACAGATGCTGGCCTTCTCTGTAGCCAGTCGTGATGCTTTTTTTTTTTTTAATTTTTGCGAGACATAACTTGCAACAGTTTGCTAAACATTGCGTGGGCCTCTTCAGTGTAATTGCAGAAAAGAAACAAAAGCACTGTAGCTTCAAAGCATATTAAGTATACAGAGAGAACGTGATATGCTTATCAAGCTACATTCCAATTTAAAAGCATGCTTTCAGAATTGATAGAAATGACCAAAATAATAGACTGTTCACTTCCTGGAAAAAAAGCCACCTGCCACTTCAGGCTTGGATTTGAGGATTATCTATGTATTATTAAAGGCTGATGCCTGTCAGGGAAGAGTGGGGAGAGTTAACAGGAATTGAGAAATGCTTGTCTGAAAGATATTACTGGGTCCTGATCTTGAAGAACTGCCTTACAAATCTAGCCAGTGACCTTCTGTATCTAAAAAGTTGCAGTGGGGCACAATGCATTGGCATTTGCTCTACTGAAGATTCACTGAAATGAAGAGAGGCTGGGCAAGAGAAGAGTATTGTGGATCCCATTCATCTCAATGGATGTTACATTGGAAAACAGGAAACTTACCTTATGTGGAGTCAGATCCTTGGTCCATCTAGCCTAGCATTGCCAGCAAAATCTGGTAGTGCTTCTTCAGGGTTTCAGGCAGGAATTTCCTCATCCTCTTGGAGATGCCAGGGATTGAACATGGGACCTTTTGCATGCAAAGCAGATACTCTGCCATGGCCATGGTCCCTCCTGGTCATTTGCAGCTCATGGCATTTACAATTCATTCTGTAGTGCACATAATTTGCATGCAGTTTCTAGAGGATTCTTCTGAGAACTGGCTGCTAGCAACTGGAGAGAGTAATTGCTCGGTTGTGGTGCCCCGCCTTTGGAATCCTTTCTCCTGCAAGAGTTCATTATTTCCTCCTCCTCCTGCTGCTGCTGCTGCTGCTAGCTAAGTTTTCTTTGGAGCTTCATCATATGAAGCTAAGGGTTATTCCAACCCATGGGAAGCCAATGAAGAATAAAAGAGACTTGGTCTCCATTTCTCTTTTGGAACAGCTTAAATGTGTGGAGAAGCCAGTGGCGCTCTAGATGATACATGTTAGCAGTACCTGACTAGTACAATGGAAGCAGTGAGAAATGAATGGAAAAACGTGTTTCCAGAGTTGGGCCGGTCAGTGGAGCTCACAGAAGGGCACTCTGCTGGTCTGTTCTATTCCATAGCATAGTGTTTCCACTCATTTCCAGGGTCACTTTAGGAAATGCTAACAGTCAGTCCTACTGGCTCAAAAGAATGAAAAGAGGCACAGTGGCACAATTGGATGGTGCCCACTGACACTAGCCAGCTGCTTAGATTAGCAATTTAGTATTAGACAAGTAGAGGTATTAAGTCCAGCCTTGGAAAAAGTCTGCCAAATTTGCAAGCCTGACAGATTTTAGTACCTGTTTGCCCATTTGTACATATGGTAGCACATTATGATTTAAATGGATTTTTTTAAAAAATTGTCTGTCTGGAGGAAGGCAGGTTTTGTATTCTACAGACAACCTAGTGAGTGGTTAAATACAAGCCTGTCATTAATCTACTAATTTTGTTGTCTTATGTATGCAAAATATCTGCTTCCTAGGTAGCAAGTTTAATTTTATTGTGCACTTTTTTAAAAAATAGCAAGGGTAATTGAGGCATGATATTCTGGGAAAGCAAGCAAGGCATACCTTGATAGCAAAATCCCATTCATGTCTAATTATAAGTTAATCCAACTGAGAGCAATGGGACCTGTTCTCTGGAAAGGGTTACAGCCAAAAACATACACGATTATGGCTGGGCAGCATCCAAGGAGTGCCGCTGTGCCAGGTGTTTGTCTGGAGGACTGATGACTATGGCCATCTTTGCCTCTCCATCCTTGTTTCTATAGAGATTCTACTAGATTCACTTTTAAGTACATCTAGTGGAGTTGTGGGAGCAGGGTTGAAAGCGGAGAGGCTTTAGGATCCAGTGGATCCTTGGAGCCTGTGCTCCTTCCATTTGCCTCATCAGCTATGCGCCCTTTCCATGGTGGCTAGAAGGGGTGATAGGGGGAAATCTCCATTCAGATTTCTCCTCCTAAGGTCATAGGAATGCATGTGGAACACCACGGATCCAATGTCCCTGAGATATTTCCCCTTAGGGACCATAGTATTGTTCCCTAATGGTGTAATTCTACCTATGCAAGCCTTTTTTCTGTTGAAGCATGCATAGGATTCCATCCTAATCTCTGGCTAGCATAGATAGTAATCTTAAACTTCAATTCTAAACACATGTATAAGAATGTAAGAGCCGCTGAGGCTTACTTCTAGTTTCTTCTGTTAGCAATCTCGGTAAGTCAAGCAGTCTCTGTGAATTTGTCTGCCTCCAAAGGATCAGAGCTGTTATAGCTTACAGAAGTTGGTGAAGGCTCCTTAAATAATAATAATAGTTTCCCCTTGATGATAAATAGAAAAGCAAAAGACTGTTAGAGCCAGAGTTGACTCTGTTTAAATTAGAAATTTGTCACGTTTAATTAATTATGTTCTGGAAGCTGTTCTTGTTTGTTTGGTATCAGATCTGAGGAAAGATAATTGGTTTTGGTTTGCAGCTAGCGTTAAATCTGTGGCTAAAGGGAGCTGTGCAAAGTTTTAGTCCATACAGAGTATGGGGAATGTTATTATGTTTAATAATGTTTATTAATAGCTATTGCATTGGAAAAGCTCTTGTACGTTTGAGAAATTACAGTAGTAATTTAAGTACTTTCTAGAACATGCTAATATTATACCCTGTATTTATGCTATAGCATAGGCTGTATGCTGCTAATAAGTTTAGCTGGTAGATTAATCCTTTAAAGCTCTAGTTGGCTGATTAGTAAGCAGCAATGTAGTACATGCTTTACTTATTTTTTAATGGTTGCAGTTCCATTGTTGCATTACTCTAATAGGGTGTACATATTGATTGCCTTTTCTTCTAACAGTGAGCAACAGTTTTAGTTTATTAAATTGTACATTATCTGAATTTCAAACAATTATTTCAGTGAGACATCTAAGCAGGGGTGGGTAGGGTTATAATATGCAAGTTATGAACAGTTAAAAAGCAGATGGTTATTTAAAAAAAATGTTAATAGGCCTAGTCATTACCTGTCACACCACAGCATCAAGCCTGCAGATTTTGTGTTGGTGCGTTTCTACTGGGACAACATACTAAGGATCCATACCCAAGTTAGTTGAACTGAATTCCCATTGAGAAGATGGAAGTTAAGTCAAGCCATGATTAACATGCTCCATTGTTTTCAGTGGGACCTAAGTTTATTTTATTTATGTAAAGTTTTTGTCTCCTGCAGTCAGGATCCATTGGTATCAATGGATATGTCAGTATGTTTTAGGGCCATGCTGTAGATAAGCAGCTCAGCATCTGTAGAATCAGTGGGGCAGGCCGGAGCATTTTATCTTTCCTAGACGGGAAGCCTATAGGCCAGGTGCAGTCTAATTACTGAGGGGTTATTTAGATAAACTGTTACAAAATATGGTGGTGCTGGATGATCGGGGATGCAAGACTTCAGGCCTAGGGACTGTCCCAGGGGTTCCCCAGAAGGCCATATCCCTTTTCCCAAACCACCAACCATTTGGTCGTTTACTGGCTTTTGTGTAATTCAGAGGTTACAATGGTTCTCCTAAGACTTAATTACTGGCAGTAAGGTCTTTAAACTAAAATATGCCGATATTTTTACGCCCCTTTTGCCTTTGTTGATTTGCTTATTATATTTATATCCTAACTTTTTCCCTACAGGGAACTCAGGGTAGCTTATATAATCCTCCTTCATTTTATCGTCGCGACACCCATGTGAGTTAGGTTAGGCTGAGAGTTGTTGACTAGCTCAGAGTTACCAACTGAGCTCAAGGCCGAGTGGAGTTAGAACCCTGCTCTCTCAAATCTCAGTCCATACTGGCTGTCAGCACCCCTGGAATGCAGATCCTGACAGCATCTCCAGACTAGAATTCAGTCCTTGAGCTGGAAGTGCTTCCCCGCGGGTCCCCAAGGAAAATTGCTTATTGCCCTGGACAAACACGTGAGTAGCAGAACTGCTGTAAAGTAACTAGTGTCCCCCCCCCTCTTTTTCAGGTCATTTAACCAGATTTGCTGCATTTGTAATTTCTTCAGTGATGAGACATTGCTGGGAAGTATGGATAAAAATATTGCAGAGCAGCTTAATAAAGCATACGAAGCCTTTCGGCAGGCATGTATGGATAGAGACTCTGCTGTGAAAGAATTCAAACTAAAGGTATGTGTCTGTTTTATATCTAATGCTACAAGGTAAGATTGCATTCACAGCAGCTGCCAAAGGGAGAACGGCTCAAATTCAGACAGAAGCATGCAGTGGAGCCTGATGAAGCTGAGGAAATTCTGTTAACAATCTGTGATGATCTCACACTTGCAGATATGAAGCTGGGCGGTGCTGATTGTTTGTTGTTGGTTGGAAAATTAAATTTTGCAGCCATCAAGTGCAGAGTGTGTCTGGCTTTAATAGTGGCAAGGCCTTCGTTGGTGTAGAGACATTGCCACTGTGGCCGCATTCCCAGTATGCTATGGCTGGCTGGAGACAATGTGCATGACGTTGGCCAGCTCCCCATTTTGTAAGAGGAAGTGAGAGCATACAGTAATTTGAACTTCCTCACTTTTTTCATACAGCTATTGCATAATTTTGAGAGAGACAAAATAATGTTGGTTCTGTGGAAGTGTTAGGGCTGAAAGGCACAGTTTAGTGTTAAGCATTTCATAGAAGATGCTTAGAATCATAGAATAACAGAATTGGAAGGGGCCAGAAGGGCATCAGGGCCAACCCCCTGCTGTCGCAGGTCACTAAATTACACCATCCCACTTAGGTGACTGTCCAGGCATTTTCTGAATATCTTCAGTGAAGGAGAGCCCACAACTTCCACAAGTAACAGTTTCCATTGTTGTACTGTTCTGACAGTGAGGAAATTCTTCCTGGTGTCCAGTCTAAATCCAGTTTCTTTTAAGTCCATTATTCTACGTCTTGCACTCTGGAATGACCAAGAAAAGATCTTGTCCTTCCTCTCTGTGACAGCCTTCCAGGTACTTGCAGAGTGCTGTCATGTCACCCCTCAGCCTTCTCTCCTTGAGGCTGAACATGCTTATTTTTCCCAGTCTTTCCTCAAATACACCCAGAAGCCATGCCCCAATTGCCCGGTGGTTTCTTAGCTTTGTTTCTACCATTTTAAAGGTTGAAATGCCTCACCCAATGCTAAGTTACTGGCAGCAAGAGAGTTAAACTTCCAATAGGCAGGCATGTTTGTCCTACCACTTCTGCCTTTGGCTCTGCCTGTGGCCTGGCCCACATCTAGGTGCAGTCCCTAAGAGCATCTCCAAAATGGGATTTAGCCATGTAGCTGGAAGAGGTTCTGACCTCCAGTGCGGATGATGCTAGACAAAAGGTCGCATTGATACACAACTGTTTGGGCCCAACAGCTGCACTGCAATTGTAATTTTCATGTCTCTCCAAGTTACTCCGTCTTTTTCGTTCCTTGCTTTTATGAATATCCAGCGCTAAGATGTTTCTTTGTTTACTGTAGATGAACAATATGGTTGAAATGCATGAACAAAAGTTAGACTGTGATTACTGGAAAGCAATGGGGAATGGTTTTTCTTTTCTTGGACAGCAGAGTCATTCTTTCAAAAAGCACTGGCCATAGTTAGAGCAGCCTCGCAAACGAGCTTGCCAACAGTACCACGCCAGAGGAAAGGTATACTAGCAAGCCTGCCTGCCCACACACTCCTCTGCTAGCCATTTGATCACTCATCACCTGAGTGCAGGGAACAGCCAGGGCCCAGGCCTGCATGCCTGGGGAAGGAAGGACGCCGCAGTCGCCTGGGTGTGCCCTTTGCACACTGCCTCGTTTCTGTAGTTGCCCTTGTAGGGCACAGGCTGCCATGTAGGGCTCAGTAGATGGGGGAGGGGGTGGCTTCCAAACCACACTGCAGCTCATGGCTCGTGCTGGGGTTTCTACACCTGTGCAGCACAACCCATTTTGTCTCCTCATCCATCCCCACTGTCTTGGTATATTTACTAATTTCATTTCTATCTCACCCAATAGCTAAAGCTCTCTGGGCAGTTCAGGCACCTCATTACCTAGCTTTAAAAAAGATAGTCAGACAGACAGAGCCTTGCCAATTTCCTTCTGTGTTTCAACTGTCAGAAACACCAAAAAAAAGCGGGGGGGGGGCAATATAGTAAATGTAGCAAAAGGGGGCATGGGGTGGGAAGGGATAATCATCCTACAATTCAGTGTTGAAACTTGTAGGTGTCCTCCCTTCGTCCAACACAAAGCCGTGTCTCCAGCAAGACCAATGGATCTCCTGCCGTTTCTGCAGCTTGTCAGGTTCTGGGCTGCTCCAGGCTTTCGCTGGATGGTCAGAACCAGAAAGCCCACCTCAGCACTCACAGGATTGGTGCCAGGCCCCGCTGGAGCTCTCAGCCGCCTGATGAGCACCAGCCAGGAACTGTGGGGAAAGAAGAGCAAGCTCTTAAGCCCAGAACTGGCCTCAGCAACACATCTTCCCCTTTGCTGTAGTGCCTGCCTGTTGTCTGACCTGTGTCCTGCCCCGCTGTCTCACCTCAGAGGTGTGGTTCAGCTGTCCTGCCTCAGGTTGTCTGCACCTCTGTTGGTCTTCCTGGTTCTCACCCCTTGGATTGTTTGTAACCAGTTCCTTGTCCTGATGTAATGTGTCTCTCTGGTTCCTGATACTGGATGGTTCTATGACTTGGACTTGCTATTGAATCTTGCTTTCTGGACTTTGGAGTCTGTCTTGCCTCAAGCTCTGTTGCCCGTGTCCCAGTGCCTTTGCTGTGTCTCCTAGCACCCAAGTCCCAGCTCCTGACATAGCTCCTTTTCAGAGCAGTTATTATAGTTGCACAAATTTCCCCTCCATTTACTTTAAATTTATATCCCTGGTAGTTAAAACAAAGAACAAATCTTCAAAGCACAGTAATGAAGGCAGTAACTGCTTCAAAAAGGAGCTGCAGAAATGTAGGGGAGCCAGGAACTCACCTTGCTGGACTTGCTGAAGATTCAAGTGAAGTGCTGAAAGTGGGGAGAGCACGGAGGTATTCTGCCCCCCCCCCACACACACACACGTTTGTGCTTAAAGAAGCTGACATGGCAAGACTAAGCCTGTTGGACAACCACATCCTTGCAAAGGAATGGGAAAATTAAAAACAAGGAACACCCTATTTGCATATTCCCAAAGCACTGAAAAAATGGAAAATAGTGGTGACCAATGCGGTAACGATCCCTCCAATGATATTTGGGGGTTGTTTATTGAATATGTGTTAATAAAAGAGAAGGGTATCAAAACTTTGGATGATTTTATACAGTTCTGGATGGAATGGGGTAGTCCTGAAAGAGGTCAAATACAGAAGAAGGAAAAGAAGAAGGAAATGAGTAATCAATTAATATGTAGCCAAGGTCCTGGTGGAGGGGTGCACTAAATGTTTTTTTTTTAAGTTTTTTTTTCTTTTTCCTGGGTTCTTTGTATTTTTCTTGTTATTTTTTAATCTGTATTAATGTATTTTGGTATTGCATTTTATATTTTCAAATAAGAAATTTAACAAGCCAGAAAACCAATCCCTCCAAGTGCCTTTTGGCCATCTGGTGAAGGAGTCTGGAAGCAGCTCAAGTAAGATCATGAAAGCCAGCAGAGGAGTTTGCCTGTCCAGTGGCTCTCCAGCCATTCCTGTTGACCCATGACAAAATCACCCTGCTTGGTTTGGCTGGCATGACAAGCCACCATGAATATCAGCAGCCCTTAAAAAAGCCATGGGCTCTTACAGTGGCTTCTTCATGAAAAAAATCACCCTGCAGGAACCGTGCTAGCTTTAGACTGCACGACACTCTGCCATGGCTGAACACACAGTGTGTTGTCCATACAGAAGGGCTGTGCACCTCACGACTAGGTCGCCTCCCTCTCTGAATTTTCACTTTTCAGCAACAAAACATTGGGGTTTATTTCTTTTGCTTGCGGGGATATAAGGAGAATTCTTACAGAATTCTGGTAATCTTTATTCAATGGCTCATTGGTTCTAAAATGCACAGTTAACAAATATCTTTACTTTTGTTGTTGTTGTTGTTTAGTCACAAAGTCATGCCCAACTCCTTGCGACTCCACGAACAACATTCCTTCAGGCCCTTCTGTCCCCCACCATCCATCAGAGGCCACCCAACCCCACACCCACCAGCTCAGTGACCGCATCCAGCCACCTCAACTTCTGGCGTCCCCTTCTTCTTTTGCTGTCAATTGTTCCCAGCTTTAGGGTCTTCTCCAATGAGCCCCTTCTTCTCATTAAGTTGCCAAAGTATTTGAGCTTCATCTTGTATCTGTCCTTCTGTCCAGAACAGTCAGGATTGGTTTCCTTAGGATATCTTTACTAGGGCCAATTAAATTTCCATAGAAACATGCAAGCTTTTGAGAACTTTTCAAAACTCTTTTTAGGGCTTAGAGGTACATATAACAGAGGATAAGAGAAGAAACAGAAAAGTCAAAAACTTTGGCTAGGTGTTGCAGGTATCAAATTACACCTAGCCGTGCATTTTGGAAGAGAAAAGCAATGATCTCCATTTTGAAAAACACAAAGATGGTCTGTGACTCGGATCCTACCTTGGCCAAAGTGCATAGATTCCTGAGGCAGCAGAGAGCAGAAGTCTGGAAAAACATGTTTTTACATTAGAAGAGGTAGAGATGAATATTAGGTGGTGTTCTAGGCTTTGAAAAGTCAGTTGAGTCCCATTTGAGTACTGCTTAGTGGTTGGAGGGACTGCAAAATCCCTCTTCAGATGGTAGAACTGAGTATCTTTTAATTGTATTAAGCCACCTGTATTTTATACTTTAATTATTATTCAGTGTTTCCAGGGTCACTCCACAATCTCTGCCTATGGCCTGCTTTCTTAGCACAGACAGCTAGACAAGGGATTTATTTTCCTGTCAGAATGAAGGGTGTCTCCATCTAACTTGTGTGGTGGAGAGACATTACATGAAATAATTTCCTAAGGAGCATGGATGTGCAGCTGACCCATGCTTGTAATGCAGGTGACTGACATAAGTCATTTTTGGATCTATGGCTCCCCTCTTCCTGCCCCCCTCCTTTGCTCCATGGCCCCAGTTGCTTCTTGGTGCATGCGCCAGTGTGCCACCAACAGCTGCATCCTGAAGCTGCTGGTTGGCCACTTGTGTTGCTAGTCTCCGAAGATCAGAGCGGTGTCAAATGCATAGGAACCAGCGTCACGCTGGCCAGATGGTGCTCGATACAAATGGATGTTTGGTTGTCAAGTATATCTTCTAGTCAGTAACTTGTTGCTGCCATCTGACTCTAAAAGAATCATTTGTGCCTGCGGACTGTCAAAAGCATCTTCTTTTCTGTCTGTTTTAGCTGTCATGCCTGTGCTCTGTGCAGAAGTGTTGACAAGACATTGCTGTTGTACATTTTCAATTTGGGTCGTAGTGACTCCCCCCGCACACACACACACTGCATTCTTCTGCGCTTGCTTCCTGAGGTCATCTTGGCTGCTAGAGTGTGCTGACCTCTTTAGATTTTTAATGATGCTTGTTGCTTTACTTTGAGTCTAGCTGAAAGTAGACTCTCTGATGTATTATGGTATGAGCATTTTCTGAAAAGGGGGTCTTTCCCTACCACCTGAAAACACTGATTTTCCAAACCCTGGTTTCTTCAGCCATAGATTCTTTGTGCTGTGAAGTTTCTGTTATCTAGAACCCCTAATAATTTATGTGGCTGTTGAAGAAACTTAACACCTTACTTTGCTGTAATGGGATGTCACAGCATACCTGGGGATGTTCTGAATGCCCACTGTTGGAAACTGTCTGGTGCTTAATTTCTAAAAGAGAGGAAGGATGTGGTGTCATTGTGTGAAGAAATAGACCCCTAGAGCCAAACACTGTCTCGGGTAGGTATCGCAGCCTAATCTACCTCAGAGGATTGTTGTGAAGAGGAGAGGAGAATGAGCAACCATATATGCCCCTTGGAGAAAGGGTTAGATAAAAATGCAAGGAACAAAAACATGGGGGGGAATCTAAACAGGAATATTTTGCACCTGCACTGTTAAAAGAAACTAGCATAGTGGACTCATGCGAGAGCAAGCATGGTTGCTAATAACATAGCATAGGTAGTTTCTGTACCTGTCTGAAGTAAAGCCTTTCAGCAACACAAAATGACTTCTAATTATCTTTACAGACAGAGAGCTATGAAAAGCAGATACGTGAACAACAGAAACAAATTGACTTTCTAATGAGCATTGTCGCAAAGCTCAAAACACAGTTGTCTTCTATGAGCGCCAACAGAGGTAGGTACTTTTCATGCGTATGTGTATATGTGCATGCATACACGCTCTCTCTCTCTCTCTCTCTCACTTTTCTGGCCATGATCCAGAGAATTTCCCTAGAGTATCACAATACTGAATAGCACAAATTGCTTTCCCCCCCTTGTGCATCCAGGAAAAGATATGCCACCACAGTTACATGTTAATGTGCTATGAGATTCTTTGTTGCTTACTTTCCTTCTTCTTCAAATTATAAAGCACACTTTGATGTTTCAACGTTGGTAATATCTATGTGGCAAGCAGAAAAACATGCAAACTGATAGGAGAATCCCTTCAGAGTTTCTTCACTTCTAAATTCCACTGCAAAAATAATTTGTAGTCTTTGCTCGACTGCGTAAGATTCTGATGTATGAAGACAGTGTCAGAAGGCAAGTAACCCCAGGAATGCAGGCAGTTTGGTCATTCTGACACCTCATTTCCTTGCACCACCAGTTCTGTATAGTTGGCCATGTGTTATTTCCACAGTTTTCCAGGAGATGTGAGTGCTTATCTACATGTTATGCTGTGGTTTAGATACCTTTTTGTGCAAAAGGACTTCTTAAATGAACATGCAAAGGATCATGTTGAGTTTTAGCCTCAGCTGATTCTCTTTCCAGGTTGGGATGAGTGTGTTTATAGCTGGGTTGAGAAATGTCCACTTGATATTACAGTAGAAGTTGGTCCCAGGACTGAATTGGGCTTTCCAGATTTCTGCCAGCTGGATTCTTGTTTTCCAACCTAAAGTGGATGGCTCTATGAAAAGAGCATGTGTGAGAGAATGGCATTCACAGGCAGATAACTCTGAGGGGATGTGGGACTAGAGCCCAGCCTGCCATCTTCCACTCAAAGTGCCCCCTCTCAAAACTTAATTGCTGCTTCAGCTGCTGCCGCCTCTACACTAATACACCAAAAGATTCTTGAAGCTAAAACAATGGAAGACAATTTCTGGATTTAGAACATTAAATTAGGAGCTTAGGGCAATAGGCTTAGAGGTCATAGCTATCCCCCTGGGGCTCCCCAGAAGGCCACATTCCTCTTCTGCAACCATATATTAATTGGGAGGGGTTCTCAGCATTTGTGCAGGTCCCCCCCCCTTCCCTTCCCATTCTAAAAGCTTGAAATGCTTCCCCTAGGGCTTTACTTTAAGCTAAATTATGTAGGTTGGGTTTGTGCTTTTTTTTTCTGCCCACTGCTGGAATGTGGCCCATAAGAGCTTCTGCAAAACTACATTTGTCTCTCAGGCCCCAAGTGGTTCTGCACCTCTCCTTCAAACTGTGAAAGTGACTGAGTTTGGCTACCACAGAAGATTGGTAGCTAAATGCTCTTTGATGAGTGTGTCTGTGTGTGAGTTTGGTATCATCCTGAGTTTGTTCATATAATTTATATTGCTGAAGTACTTTGAAAGTGAGACTTGGCTCTTGGGAAGTTTAATGGCAAGGGTACAAATATGTTTGCAAAATGCAAGTTTTCTCTTGGAAGGAGGGAGAGATGAAGACCCGAGTAGGACATTGAGGGGAAGTATTTTCTTGCTGGTGTGTCCATCCATTTCTTGCCATGAACAGGTTGTACTTGCTAAGGTTCGAACCTAGTTGGAATTCTGGCCTCTTGATTTGGGAGCCAAAGAACAGATAGTGGTTGTGATTACTCAGTAGTGATAGGAAACTGATTTTTTTTCTCAGCCCAATGAAACATATAAAGCTTCCAAATAACTGAAAGAACAGGGCTTCCCTGTAGATCATCCGAGGTACTTAAAGTGGAGGTGCTGTTGTCAAAACCACCTTACTTGAAGTTTTGTAGGACCTCAGTGGATGAGAGTGGTAGTCCCAAGGTTGTAGGCTCCCCTCTGCTCTAAGGTGTGTCTGGCACCTTTGCTGTATGCATGTCATTGGCAAGTCTTTACCTGGACCTTTCGAAGGAGAAGAATGATATGAGATCATGGAGTTTTCCTCCTATAGTGAAAACTGTGTGTTGGATTGAAGGTTTTTTTAAATAGTGGTTTTAACGTTTTTTAAACTGGTCAGTCCTAGAGGAGATCAACCCTGACTGCTCTTTAGAAGGCCAGATACTGAAGATGAAACCCAAATACTTTGGCCACCTAATGAGAAGGAAGGATTCCCTGGAGAAGAGTCTAATGCTGGGAACAATAGATGGCAAAAGAAGAAGGGGACGGCAGAGGATGAGGTGGCTGGATGGAGTCACTGTAGCAGTTGGTGTGAGCTTGGGTGGACTTGGGGAGATGGTGGAGGACAGGAGGGCCTGGAGGAATGTTGTCCATGGGGTCACGATGGGTCGGACACGACTTCGCGACTAACAACAACAATAATATTCCTTTATTGATATGTGTGTACATATACATGAAAAAGTGAAAGGTGGGCTATAAATGTAAATAACAAAAAAATCAATCAGTAAACACACTGCATAAGCTGACCGTCACTTTAAAAATGCTGTAACTTTATCACTATCATTATTGTTTGCCCTACAGCCAAGTTCTCAAGATGGCATAATGAAAGCAAAACAGTACAGCCAATGATACACCTATTAATAAAGCACATTAAGAAGTACTGCTTTAAAAGGAGCGACAGTGTAAAAGATTGGCCATTCAGCACTAGGTGCTGGAACAGTGCCCTGGGAAAGCTCAGTTCACATCCAACCCTGCTTGGAGGGAAAGAAGCTTTGTCGGGGCAGCAAGGTTGCGGAGGCAGAAAAAGGAAGTGCAGTAGGCTAAAAACAACACAGGGGAAGAAATGAGGAAATAAATACTGAGTACAAACGGGAAAAGAGAAATGGGGAAAGAAGGGTTTGGGTGATTCCAGAGGGTTTTTTAAAGAGAATGGGGAAAGAAGGGTTTGGGTGATTCCAGAGGGTTTTTTAAAGAGAGAGAACACTCCAGTCACATGATATTTTTCACTTGCTAGATTATATCGTTTTCTCAAGGCTGCAATTCAATGCTCAGTTAAGCTTAAGTCTGAAACTGCTGCCCAGTCCCTTGATTCAGCCCTGGGAGTAAGGAACATGCGCATGCAGCTACACCTTATCTCATCAGAGTACTACATTGCACTTCTACGTTGCACTTCAAATATTAGCATGCACGTGTCTTTTCCAAAGCAAAGAGTATCTCCATGCAGGAAAAATGGTCCTAAACAGAGTATATGGTAGCAAGATGTCTGTTTTCTTAATAGAAAATGGGACCCAGGGTGGTACACATAATATATACTTGCACACATGTCTGCACATGCACACATAAAATAACATTCCACTGAATCAGTCCACAGAAAAATGTTCATATAATGTATCGCAAGCCTTGTGAGAGCAGCTGGGTGAAGAATTCTGTCCCTCTGGCCAGGTCTTGTGATTGTTTCACAAATCATTGAATGCCATGCCAACAGTTTGCGTGCATTTATATTGTTCACATTGAGCTTCCGGAGGCATGCAGTAATACCACATAGATTAAACTGTCAAGGAGTTTTCTGGATGGTCAGGACAGTTTTTATAATGTGCCAGGTGGCCTTCAGAAAGCTGCATGACTGAAAGGGCCATCAAAGCAAATTTGCAAAAACCGGAATTTCAGATAAATCAAGGGTGGAGGACTTTTTTCAGCTGCAGGACCAAAGCCCACTTTGGAGAAGCTCTCCCAGGGCATTCCAGTGACAGGAGGGCCAGAGGCAAAACGGCTGAGGTCTGAATACCCATATATTGAAGCTTAATGCTCTTCCTGTTAGTGATTCAATCTTAGGAGAGGTATTTCAACCTTTTAGGAGGGGAAAGGGCATAACAGCCAGGAAACAGCCAAACAACTGGTGCTTGGAGGAACGGGCCTTTTCTCATGTGGAGAACCCTGGGCTAAATTGGGACCTCGGGAGAGTTGGCTTTGGCTTTCATGCAGACCCTGAGCCTAGCTCCTGAAATAGCTGGCAGATTTTTTTTCCTCTATTACTGTTCATGGAGCATTAGGTTTAACAGATTTCAGGCTTTTTACCAAATCTGCTCAAATAAAAGTGATTAAAAATTATCCATACGTTTCTGGCCAACTCTTGTATATTATCTGTGCAAGAGCCTTCTATTTAGAAAGCAGTGAGCTAATATTTTTGCAGAATGTGGATTACAGTGTTGGCTTCATGCTAGATTCCATGCATTAAATAAAACCACATGATATATTGACGTTCAATGTTTACATGGTGATTGTTTTTAATTGAAACAATGCTCAAACAAAGGTTCTTTATTTTGAAGTTAATGCATGCAGTCAGCTTCCAGTACCTGAAGATGGTGAAGCAAGAAGAAATGGTACCTTACCGAATGTAGAATGTGATCAGCTCCACGAAAAACTGAGATTGGCATTGCAAAGAGAGAAGTTTTTAAAGGTAGGGTGCTTTTCATAAGAGATAAACAGCAATACTTAACCGTCCTATTTGGACATTATAACTCATGGTTTATTGGAATAGCAATGAACTTATTCAAGACTCAGCTAATGTATTCCATCCTCTACTGTGTGACTATAAGCAAGGAGTGTGGCAGCTTTCACTTCTATTTTTATTAACTGCAGATTGACTTGTCATCCAAACTGGACAAGCCAGTTAATCTTAACCATGGTTTTTTTGGCAGAAGCCAACTTCAGACCATTCATTATGAAGCTGGTTTTTTGCAACAAACCACAATTAAAATTAAGCACAGTTAATATGTTTGAACAACACACTAACTTGCAATGAATAAACATGAAAGTAGAAACTTACAGTCCCCACTTTCCACCCACTCTGGATGGGAAGAGAAGTGGGGAAATGTGAGAAACGGAGGCTCATGCGATCTTGTCTCCATCACAACAAACATGGTTTACTGTGATACTCAAGTGCAGCCAATACATGCTTGTTACTGGATGGTGGGTTTCTTTTCTTCAGTATTAAGCTTGGTAGAAAATCAGGTATTCAGCTCTCAAATCACTATGATCCAGCATGATGTTTATTTATCCCGTTCAAATCATGTTGAGCAGATGAAAGCTGTCATTGCACCAAACATGCTAAACCACAGTAGGAGGAACTAGGATGCTGGTGTGGGTACAAGCTGCCCCCCTTAAAGATGAAGGTTATATTCTTTTTCTAGTATGCCACCTTTCTTACACTTGCTATACTGATGGTAAATCTTCAGTTGGCACAGGTGGCACACATAGCCAGTTTCGCCGGCTTCCACCAGCCTGGGCTCTGCAGTTGTTTTTGTTGACAGCTCCTATAATCGATGACTGTTAGCCAGGTTGTCCAAAACTTCTGGAGAGCACCAGTTTCAGAAAGGCTGAATTCCAGGCTTGGGGTTCTTTTTCATTAAAAATAATTCTTAAATAGTCAGCAAGTAGGATTAGAAATAAAGGAGTTACAAAACGGAGGCAGTGTGAATGCTCACTTCTAGTTCTTCCTATATACTAGTTCTTCTAGCTCTGTCTATATGCTTGTGCTATTTGAAATCACAGAATAGATAGAATATAGAGTTATAGTTCATAGAATATCCTGTAAAACTAAAAAGAAAATCATTCAGAGGTGCCATGGCCTTATCAGTTTTATTTAAAATGCCTCTGTTGTTAGGGTGTCTCCTAGCCAATCTTGTGCCTTTTCCTCAGTGCCCCTTGGTACTCGTTTTTAAAGTGTTGTCTGCTGACATTGATCAGCTTTTCCAAGCTGGCAGCCACTTAAACTTTCTCGAAATACACAAATATCTTTCACTACCAGCTTGGAAAGGTAAGCCTTCTCTCATTTAACGTTGTTAGTTTTGTTACTGTAAAATATCCATGGGTTATGCAAGCATTGTTTAGCTTTCACATAAGCCACTCCCACCAGGTTTTCAGATTATGATAAACCATGGGGATTGATCGCTACAGCTTAGATATTTGAAAGGATGACTGGCATGTGGCATAACCCACTGTGGTGATTGGGCAAACCAGGTCAAACTGTGCAAGAATGAGAGAAAAGAACAGCTTGCCAGGACCCAAAGTTATCAGGGTAATAGGCTCGCCTATTAACTTTTTGGACAACTCTGCTATCATGAAAATGGAGGCAAACCCGGAACAGTGAGAAGCGGTGACTCTGACGGCATTTACAGGCCCAAAGATGCAAGCAAATGTTTGCTGCTCTGGCTGGCTATAAATACAAATCATGAGTCTGACTGTATGGGATGGGATCCTTTCATGAGGGTTCTGGTCTTGTTTAACTGTTGGAAGGATTTGTACTTTGTTGTTAAGATTGTCTGCTTGTTCAACTCTTCGAGGCAGGGCTTAAGGCCAGAGCCATAGCTTCAGCAATAGAGCTGCAGCACAAACCTGTGCAGCACGGGTGGGGAACCTGCATCCCTGAGGATTGGTTGGACTCCAGTTGCTTCATCCCTGTCCATGTGGGCTGAGGATGACAGGAGTTGGAGTCCAGCAACTACATCTGGGGAGCCACAGTGCTGCACCGCAGCTTTATATCATTGTCCAGCCTGTTCCTGTTGCTTTTCGCCTTTTTGTCAGTTGTGCATTTATTTAGGTGCAGAAAGGATAATAGGAGGCTCAGTATTAAGCAACATAATGGTGTCATGGGGAAGAGATGATTGCATGCAGAAATTCCTCTGTGCTATCTCTGGCATGCCTAGCTAAAAGGATCAGGGAGAAGGTAGACTAAAACAAATCTTGGAGAAACCCTGCCAGAGTAAAGCCAACTGGCTTGCCAGAGCAGTAGTCTAATCTGGGTTAGCACATCTATAGCAGCATCATTTGTGAAAGTCTATTTTAAGATTTGTTTGTAAAAAAAAAATCAGTTCAGAACATTGTATTTCTGTCAACTAAGCAAATTTGAACCACATGTGTTAATTTGTTTTAAAAAATACCTATTTTGTCAAATTAGTGGCAGTTGATAATTATATTGCAGAAATCTAATTTGAGAGGAAAGCATTCGATTTTCCCCCCTGCTCCTCCCCTCCCCCTTTAAACAAGCTTGTGCAATTACTGCTTCAGAAATTAAAAACTGGAAAGAAAACAGAAAATTTCATCCTCAAATACAAACAGCATACTAAAAGATTTTGTTTGTAGTAGTTAATAAAAAAGGAGATTAGAATGCTGCCCAAGACTTATTACTCTGTAAACAAAAAAAAAAAACTTGGTGTTTGCTCTACTGTAAACTATTAAGTATGGTCTGATTTGCAATAGCACACAGATGTTCAGCTAACACTTTGATACTGCAGTGGCTGAGACCATGAATTAGGAGGCCTTATACAAGCCACACTCCTTCAGCTTCAGTTCCCCATCTGCTATGAGAGAATAATATAACCAACCTACTTTATAAGTCTGTTGTAAAAATAATGGCAACATAATGTACGAGAAACATTAAACAAACTAGAAACAGCAGATCAGTTCTTCCTAGTACTGCTTCTAAATAAATCCTGTTAATTTCTGTGGATCTTACTTCCAGGTCTTTGCTTTAAAGGGTCTTACTCATCTCTTCTCTGCTCCATAAACTGGTTTCATTTGTCAGCCAGTCACTTGCTGCTAGAGCTTCAAGGTTAACTTGGCACCTACCAGGCCATGGATCCCTGACATGTTAATCTGTATCTCAGGTACAAAACTGAGACCCTCTGGAGTTCTCCAGAAGGCCACACTCCGTTCCCTCAACGACCCATCAGTTGATGGCTTCCCAGTTTGGGTGCTGTTTCACCTCTTTCTGAAAGGCTGGATCGCTGCTTCTAAAGCTTAGTTACTGGCAATCAGAACTTCAGTCTGCAATACATTGGTCTTTGGGGCTTTTTGGCCTCATCTCTTTTTCCTTCCCACCCAACCTCCACTCCTCAGAACGTAACCCCTAGGCTGAAATTGGCACTAACACCCCTGCTGTATAAGATGAAAAATCAGCTATGGGGAACCACAAAGAGAGAGGAAGGGTTTTCCCTTTTTCACATACTCAGTTTGCTGTTCAGTGGGGCCAGAAACCAGTTGTGGTCCTTCATCTGTTTTGGTCTACATCTCATGCCCTCTAGCCAGCAGTGAGGGGAATTGTAGGCCAAAGCGCCTGGAGAGCACCATGTCAGCCATTCCCAGTCTAACCCCTGCTTCATTATTAAGCATGGTCTGGCCCAGCTGCCACCCTGCTATAAAACCTCTAAGCTGCCTATTTCTAAATAAGCCTAGTGGGAAATGGCCACCAATGACTTAGCCAGAATAGATAAGATGACTTGTGACAGGCCGTGTAGATGAGGCCTTGCGGTCATGACATTATACAATGAGAAAAAGAGATAATCTTCTGTCTTTATGGTCTCATGAGAAACTATCCCAAGTAGGCTTACCAGACTGACTTTTGGTCCAAATTGGTGTCATTGAAGATAATTCTGTTAGCGTTGCTTCACATATTTAAGTTTCCCTCTTTCGGAGATAAAGAGGTACTGAACTTTCCTGTTCAATGTGGCATTCCAGCTTTTGCTGCTGCTGTGTAATGTTTGGATCAGCCCCTATAGAACAGCACTGGGTAGGAAGTAAATACCTAGATGTTTTGGGTTTCAGATGACACCATACCTGACTATTGGCATTGCTGGCCGGGGCTTCTAGGAGTGAAGTCCCGAACATCTGGTGATCTTTTTTCTGTCTGCTTGTGCTGTGGAAGATAAGACTGGAAATTGCTACACTTAAGCCTTTCTTTCTCTTTCATATAATAACCTTTGTGCTTAAATCTGTTTTGAAATTCATAATCTGAGTCTCCTTCACATCTTAAATTTGCTTTCCAGTTACCATCACCTTCCTTGGCTTCCAGACAAACCTACTTCTGAATAAAATGTGCTGCTAAGCATTCTTTTCTATGCACTATGGAAAAACAGATTCCTTCCTTCTAAAATATCTACACCAACCAAACCCCAAAGTGCATTCCACTTCTGCTATATTTCTGTAGACCACCCAATAATAAATGTTCTCTAGGCATCTCAAAACAAGGTAATAAAAATAGCAGAGAAAAGAAGAAAATACGAAATGACCAATTAAAAATAGCTTCTCTCATGTTACAGGTTTGTTTTGTGCTAGCATCTCTTAGTTTCAAAAGCCTGCTAAGTATATAGCTCAGAAATGTGGAATCCAAGATTAGCCCTCATATTTACTTCATAGTGTCGTTACTTTTATGTCCCACCTTTTTTCTTCTTGCAAGGAACCTGAGGTGGCTTATTTAGTGGTCTTCCTTTTCATTTTATCCTCAGAACAACCCTGTGAAGTAGGTTTATCTGAGTCAGCTGGTGGCCCAGATTCTTCCAGCCAGCTTCCCAATCAAGTGGGTAGGCTTGAGTTCAGATATGCCCAGTTAAATACTACAACTGCATCACCACACTGCCTCGCATTATTGGAGTAAGGGCAAATTTACATAGAAACGCAAGGGCCTTGCCGAGAGAAGAACATGGAGAGCCTCTTCATGTTTTCCTTATGGTGCATGGGCCTCAGTGATGCAGTGCCTCTGCTTTGGTGGGATCCTAGTTTTCAGCTGCAGGAGGCATTGTTGCAGGGGACAAGCAGTGTGACAGTTCTATTCCATCTGGCATTGCCTTTTTGGCAATGGGTGCCATGAAACATAACCCATGGAAACCAGGGAGTGACTGGAGACTTGCGAGGTAGAACATCCATGTCCTACATAGTGTTGACGACAAAAAAAGAAGTCCCTCTTGTTCTCTGCCTGATCATGAGAAGACAGGCAATACCTGCAGTGAATTTTATATTTTAAAAGGCTCTTTATTGTAGGTGCACACTAGCAGTGGAGTGTGAACCCGTCTCCAGTCAAGACCAGCCGCCACAGTCATCACGCACAGCGGATTTATACTTTCAGCCTTTTGCACTGATTAGTAAAAGAAAACATCACAGCAGAAAACATTGAGTTGCTTTTGTACATGGTTATCCTGACCTACACTTGTGTCAAAGCATTTGCCTCCAGGCTTACCTTTACACATTCTGACCTTCTTGGCAGATGTTTATTTTATATTTTCGACTCTCTTATGCCTCTCTGATAGAACCCTAAATAACTGACCCTTGTTGTTTAGTCATTAGGAAAAATTTATATTCTTTAATAATTCCATACACTTATTTCCCTTCTGAAAAACATAAATAACCTATTGAGGATTGGGGTTCCTTTCAGGCAGATGAGCCATGATCATTCTGGGGGCAAGAGAATAAAGGAGAGGTTCTTTCTGTACTGCCTGGTGTCAGATTCCATTTATCTCTGATATATCATTTTACTGCCAAGTGGGAATAGGAGTACATTAAGGCACAATCCTACGTATGTATTTCAATTCAAGTTCATCCCGCTGGGTTCAGTGAGACTTACTCTCAGGTAAATGTGCATACATTTAAAAAGTTACAGAGCACACACATCTATTTCATTCCAATAAAAAACAGCTAGGTAGATAAGAAAAATTCCAAAATCCCTCTATTGTGTGTATTTTGTAATCTTCGTGTTGGCCTAGTTAAGGTATTGCAGTATATTAATTTTGAAATTTATTTCAGACATTTTGCTTGTCATTAGGCAACAGACATAGTGGAGCGAAACATCTCTTGTTTGCTTTGTGGCATTTTGGAAAGGGTCTTTAAGCTACCCATTCTCATCCCTCTTCAGTCTATGCATTTATTCATTTGATCCCTGCATTGTTATTTCTCACTTTGCAAAAAGAAAAACTATTTGAACATATCACACACTGCATTAGGGTTCTTTTTCATTGACCAGAGCTGAAGCCTCTGGTCTTCAAGAAGTGACAGCTCAGCTATTGATTTTATAACTTTATTTGTTCTTTTTTCCTTTCTCACTGAAGCATTTCCCCCTCTCTGTATAGACTGTCATCATGTACAGAAAACTAATAGCTTAACAATGTATGAAAGAGATTTTTAAAGCCTTAATTTCTTTACTTTGAAGCTTTATAGCTCGAGTCTTGCAAAATCCTAAGTCATTAAGTGCTAAATAGCTACATTTTAACTGTTCCAGAAATTACGATCCTTGAAGACTATTGTCACCTTCTTTAAATGTACTTTATCTTGATTCTAGCACATGCTGAAACTAATTAAATATTAGTGAACCGAGTATATAAATGGAATAAGACAACATCTCCCACATTTATAAGCACTAATATGCATTCTGCTAGTGTGACTCTTTTATGTATTCAAAATAACACACAATTGTTTTGAATAATTGTCCACAAGGAGATGTAACTGAATGTTACAGTAAATGGTTTTTAATTATTTCAGCCTAACTTGATAGTAGTGTGTACATGGCTGATTGTATTTAAAAAAGCAAGAGCACAGCTGGATCAGACCATAGACGATCTAGTCCAATTCTACGGTGGTCAGCCAGTTGCCCCTGGAAAACCCACAAACAGGACATGAGGGCAATTGGGTTCTCCCATTGTGGTTCCCCAGTGAATTCTGAGACCTGCAAATTCTGATTCTGGAGATCGGGTTTCATCATCACAACTAGTAATGATTGATAGCTTTATCCTCCATGTACTTGTCTAGTTCCCCTTTAAAACACTTTTAGGTTGGGAACTACCAGCACATCTTCTGGTGTCAAATTCCATAGTGCAACTGTGTGTTTTGTGAAGAAGAACTTTTTTTTGACTGTCCTGTACTCCCACCATTAAGCTAATTGGAAGAGCCATTGGAGAGCCACTTTCACCATGCCATGTATAAGCTTGCTTTCTTTCTTTCTTTCTTTCTTTCTTTCTTTCTTTCTTTCTTTCTTTCTTTCTTTCTTTCTTTCTTTCATTCATTCATTCATCTACCTATAGAGTGCAATGCTGTGTATTTTCAGACGGAAAAGAATCCTGTGACTCTCAGCATGCCCCAACCAGCTGTGTCGTGTTGTAGGACCTTTTTCTGTCCAAATGTGTATAGGATTACACCTTTAATTTTCTCAATAACCAAAAGGTTTTGGTTGGTAGACAGTATATCTCCATCACATTCCTTTGCTTGCCTTTTTTTGGGGGGTGGGTGGGGGGGAGAGAATAAATGAAAAGCCCAAGCATTGTATCCCTTTCTTATAGAGGAGTTGTTCTACCCCCTTACCATTTTGCTTGCAATTTGTGCACCTTTTCCAGCTCTGTAGTATCTTTTTTGAGAAAAGGGAACCAGAACCATACACCATTGTCCAAGTGCGGTTATACCATGGATTAGTAAAAGGTATTATGATATTGCCAGTTTTATTTTCAGACCCTTTGCTAATGAACCCTAACATGGAATTTGCCTTTTTCAAAGCGTTTTCACAGATTGCAAAAACTTAATTTAGCCTACAATAGTCTATTCTATAATGGCATTCCTGAAAATTAACCAACTGTGCTGTGTGGGGTGTGTGATTTTTTTTTCTGTTTAAGGAACAATTGGAAAGTGAGAGTGGAAAATTAAAACAAACAGAAGAAGAAAGTAATCTAAAAGAAAAGAAATTTGAATCTATTATCACAGTCAAAGAAGATGAAATAAGGAATCTGAAAAAACAGCTGAAAGAAATAAATGAAGCATTTGAAAAAGAGGTAAGGATATCAAAGAGAGCCACAGCTTTGCAAATAGGTCAAGCTCTATTATTTGGCATATTATCAGTTGTTCATACAGACAACTTGAGAAATTCTTGATCTTATAAAATTAAAAAAGTTTCTTAAGCCATAAACTAAATGACATTATGCTCATGGCTGTTTTATTATTCAGTCCCATTCTGTCCACATACCTTGTATAGTCTTGTACACTTTGTCTACACACACACACACACACACACGGTGTAGAATTTAGAAATGGTAATTATCAATTGATTTACTGACTATTTGAATGTAAATGTCATTTTGGAAAAGCAAATACACAATCTGTCTTGCCTTTGTATCCATGTTTTTGCTGAAAAGATCATGCTGACTTCATTTGTCAGACAACCTTTCAAGTTTTGAAAGCTGCACAGAAGATGGATTTTTGTAGCAACTTTGGCTTTAGGCTTTTGAATGAAACGCCCATGTAATGCTGGGCTAATCCACAAGGTGGTACTCAAATATAATAACTTTTCTCCGTTGATCCAGTTCATGCTATCAGCCCTGGCCCAGCTTATCCAAGAGTGTAGCAGAGTCCTTACTGATAGTTTACTTGCTGGAATGAATATGAGGCCATGATCTGATGCATACAATAAATATATATGAGAATTGATGTTTGTGTTCTGTTCTAGTATTGTTTTCCTAATGTTGTTCTCCTAATATGAAATATAAGAAAATATCCATGCATTGTATGGAATGGGACTGAACCATATAAAACCATATAAAACAAAATGACATATAGACGAGTATCGAGTATCAGAGCTTCATGTCTTACTCAGATTCACTGTCACCTATATAAAAGCTCTGCATCAGTGAGAATAGCATGCCACAGTTATTTCAGTATCCAGGTACCCAGATACTTTGGGCATTTTCTAGCGCCTTAAGTAAATGAGGATGTGGTGTTAGATTTCCGGCTAATGCATTTTTCAAACACCGATTTTAAGATGATTACATTTTATTTTTTTATTTTAAAAGGGGGAGGCAGGCTAGTGCCCGTGTCAGGTTGTTACTCTGTTAATCTGTTTAATGTGTTAATTTGTGCGGATGCATTGTGTTAGGCTGTTGTAATGCAAGCTTCTTCTTTTTCATGCTTCTGATCTTTTTCAAGACAAGGAGTGAAAAACATGCTTTGTCTAGGCAGGAATTATCTCCAGGGGCATTTACTGCAGCTGTCTATGAAAGGTACATCACTTTTAAAAAGTACATAAATAAAGGGGGTATTTCTTCAATTATATCAAGTGTATTCTTGGTTTCAGATTGAAAAATCCGATGACCTTCCTCTTCTCCTATCTTCTCCTTTCCCATCCCCAAGTCTTGAATAAGATCTCTAGAATCACTTTGAAGCAGTGATATAATGTCACCAGGGCCAAGATGCAGTGCCAGGACTTTTCTAATTAGCCAAGAGGTGGATATCATCTGCCACCCCCTTCAGACTTTCCTTTTCCCTCTGAGCTTAGCTGCAGTCCTCACAGTAGCTGGGAGGAAATTACTTTTCCCAACAATATATTGTTCCTTGTTACATTGCAAATTATTTTGGGGTGATGTGCTCTTGAATGAGCAATGAAGACCCATTAGCCTTACCAAAAGACCTGCTTCTGGTGGAGATGAACATTCCGATAAAAGATTTGTTGATCTGGATCAACAGCTGCCTGAACTTTTGGTCTCCCCTTGTAAGTGTGCCTCTGGGCTTTCATGATGGCCCTTCAAAATTTGTCGCTGCTTTTAAGCACCAGGAGGTTTGGTTAAAGGAGAAGATGAATGGCCCACTGTACTGGCACCCATTTCTCTTTTACCTTCATTGAACACAGAGAATGTTTAGTCAGAAGGAGAACAGCCACAGAGTGGCAGAGCACCTGGTTTGCACACAGAAAGCCCTAGTAGGTACAGTCCCCAGTATCTCCTAGCTGGGGAGCTGCTGCCAGTCAGCGTACTGGGCTTAGATAAACCCATGGTCTGACCCTGTGTGTTCCAAAAGGAAGAGTGGGTAGCTGCCTGTGCACTGGCATGTTCACTTGCCTGGTTAGCGCATGGATCAGTTCTGTCCTCCTGAGAGCCTGTTTTGGCCCTTTGTCCCTTTGAGACCTGGATGCACCAGTGTCTGTTCAAGGCAGAGCTTTCATCATTGTGGGGGGAAGGGGCAAAGTGAAGCCTGGTGCTTCTGCAGCCATATCAGGGTCTCACACCCTGCTGGACAGGGATACGGGCAATGTTAGGCAGGGTCCCTGGGCCCACATGTATTCCCCAGGGTCCTGGAGATCCATGGATGTAAATGGAAGATGTTCATCTGAACTTAATTGCATGGGCTGCAGAGAGTTTTCCTACAGGAAGAAGAGAGAGAAGTGGAACAGTGAGAGATTGCAAATTAATTTTAATTGGTGAGGAACTACTGATTTGGAATTATCTGGGTGGGTTGCAAATTAATTATTTGAGATGATTTGGATGAGAAATTGTCTGGCTTTGCCTCCTGTGCAATTTAAATTAATCCTGATCATTATTTCTGAATGTGCATATAAAGTAAGGAATTAGAATGTGTACATTTTGTGCAGCTTTGTGCCTTACAGGCCTGGGCGCCAAATCTTTTAAGCACCTAGCAATGCCCCCAACAGTTGGCCTTGCCTTCCCGCACACTTGTCACATACATTTCTCCAGAAATGACTCTGGGTCCTCCATTGGCCGGGGTCCAAATTCTAACAGATAATTCACCCACCTCCCAACATATCGTCAGTCATTGCATGGTGAGGAGAATGTCACTAAACGTGCCTGCTGGTGGTGCCAGTCAGGGCCGTGTGGTGATGGGAGAAGCTGCACCTCACAATCTTTTCTTCTCTGTAATATTTAAAGGGACTCAAGTGGAGCACTCCCAGGGTTCACTTTGCCTTAAGTTAAAGTGCCAGCCCAGGCAGGCTGTATCAATACTTTGTTCTTGAACTATAAACCAAACACAGGAGGACCCTCTGTTAGTTTGTTTTTATCAGATTTGCTAAGCTAGGTGTTTTGGACATTTTAATTTCTTGTTCTCGTCAGACTTTATTTAAAAATCAAAGGCAACAAAAAGAAGGAAAACAAATAATAATATAATGGGATTAATGAAGAAGCAAGGGAAGTCACTCATTATCATACTGAATCAATCACCAATATTCTTTTGGAACATGTACAGTAAAATAGCCTAAGTAGGAGCTTACTAATGAAAGAAGGAAAATTCCACCCACGGCATTTCCCCAGAATAAATCCACCCTTCTTCCATATTAGTTTTGCTGGGAGTGATTGAAAAACAAGTAGAAAACATTATCTGGCCTGCATTCCCCTGCCCCCTCCCCCAGCAGGACCAGTAGCAGCCAGCAGGGGATGGAGGGCCAACATCCCTCCATCCCCACTGGGGAGACATTGAAGGGGGAAATGGCTCAAAGTATCCTCCCCGGCAATATTGCTCTGCTCCAAATGTGAGCACATGCTTTACAGCTCATTGCTGTTTTGAACATACCGGGAGAGCAGATCGCCGTGTCCTACATTGTCTTTCTTTGGGTTGAGTCTGGCCCCACAATATAGTAACAGAGACAATGTTTCCAAGATTTTGCTTGCTGCAGGGCTGTGGCAAGACAGCTGGGTAGAATGTAATGCTGCTTAACATCTGAAATTATTGAATTTTAGGGATGAATTGGAGACAGTTTTCTGGGGCATGAAGGAAGAATTTTATCGAATACGCACACTAGCAAGAGCACAGACGGACCAGCTGAGTAAATTTAATCTACAGAGAGAACCCGTAACTGGTATCACTATACTGCAGATCTTACTGTCATCCAGCTCTTTTGACTGAAAGCGTTGCTTTGTATTGTGGTGTGGTGTGTGTGTGTGTGTTGTTCTACTATGCTGTACACTGCATGTGCTTCCAAAGCAGTTTTGAGATCAGCCCTGCCGCCTTGTGATTTGTCATGTGGCGTGCTATAGTTATGAAGCAATTCTTCATGACATTTATCCTGTGTGGCGGAACCCTTGTGTATGAATGTGTGTGTGTGTGTATATATGCACTGTCGCTTGTAAAGTGTGATAAGACTGTTCAGTTTGCTGTGAGTGCATGGCTTGGAAAGCTGCTTCTGGCTTTCCAGTATTACTTGCAACATTGCAGACGTTCTTCCCTGGCTTCAGAAGTAAATGGCGTACTCTTTTCTTCTTCCCCTCACATCCCCTGACAGCTATGCAAGGATTTTCTCCAGGAAAGAAAGCCTAGTGAGTGAAGTTGCCCCAAGTTATTTTGCTAATTGCAAAGATACAGTGGGATTTGCAGAAATAAAAATAATAAATGCACCTGTCTCCATTATCAGATCACAAGCAGTGTACAAAATGCTTTCAAACTATACAAATGAAAAAACACAAACAGCAAGAAAGAAAAGTTACTAGGCTCAGTATCAAAATCAACAGATATACAGATATATTTTCAACAGCACCCAAACCCTCCTACGGGTGGTGCATGCCACACTACAGTGAAGAGAAAATTTGGAAGGTGGGGCACCACAGCAGAAAAGTCCCTCCCCATGGCTGCTGCCAGGTAGACCTGTGTAAGCAGTGGGGCAGCCAGGAGACCCTGACCTGTAGGTGCCTGTGAATGGCTAGGTCAGCATGGGAGAAGACGCTCCTCTAGTTAGCCTGGTTCTAAGCTATGTTAAGGCCTTACATGCCATCACCTTGAAAGTGGCCCGGTGACTGTGCATGCAGTGCCCTTCTTCCAGCAAAAGTATGGCAGCAGGCTGCCCCATTCAGCCATGTGACTGCCCAGTACTGCCCTAGCTACAGTTTCCAGAGCATCTCAAAAGGAGCTCCACAAGACTGCAGTGCAGTGATCCAGTCCTGAGGTAGCCAATGTTCTTCATATGGAAAGGATGCATATTGTCTGAGTGCATTTTATTCTCCACTGGGATCCTTCCCTGAAGCATAATGTGACAGACACAATCGGCAAATCCAGATGTTCCATTTCTGCTGGAAGAAGGGTGGCCCAAGAGCACTGATCCATAAGACTCCTTTCAGGGGCTTGTCCAGGAATGTTTTGAGCAAACTGCATGTGCTGGGAACAATTAATACATTTGTCTTAGAGCAAAATGCACCAAAGTCCCTATGGGCTTATGTGAGTTTAGTCCAACACATCTGGAGGTTGCCAGGTTGGGGAAGGCTGCTTTAGGGAGTAATTCTGCTGGAGAAATGTTTTTCTCCCACTTCGTGCCTTGTTTCAGTCTTAGGAACCCTCTCTGTTAGATCAGACCGAGATCTGTTTAATCCAGCATGAGCAGATGCTCTTAGAAAGCTCCCAGTCTTGGATCCGAACTGCTGGTTTTTCTTATCATCACTGCCCAGTTTATAGCACTCTTTTGTAATCTAATCAGCATTGCACCTAACTGCTAGTATTGGCATATCTATGACCAGTTTCAAAAGCTACTGCAACTTAGCAGTATTTCTTAGCAGTATTTTATTGTGTAGCATCTGTAGTGAAGAGGCTAACCCGGGCTGGGTTCATCATAGCCATGTCCTGCTACAGGGTCAGTTCTGTTCAGATTTAGCTCTTGGTGTGTCACAGTTAAGATGATTTTCTGTGTCTGGCCAGCACCCAAATCTGGGCTGACTCCATTCTATGGCAACAGTTCCAACAAGGGCTAAAAATCTTAAAGGCCTAGAGAATCTCCACAGCAAAACATGCTGCATGAGTCAGAACTTTATTAAAGACAAGAGTTCTCTCTCATTCTTTGACCTCTAGCACTTTGGTTGTGGAAGCTGATCTGTGAAAGGGACCTCTCCCACCAGTCCTGCTCCCAGTGCCCCTTCCGCCTCTCCCCAGAGTGGGAGAGCCTCCTGAGTGGCAGTAGAATTACACGGGAGGAAGAACGCAGGAAAGCCCCCTGCCAGCAACTTCCTTGAGCAAGTGGCTCATCAGAACAAATTTACAGCCTCCCACAAAAGGGTTGACATTGAAATTTGGGCCACAGCAATAATGAATTTATTATTTGTTTATTTATTATATTGTAACCCTCCCAATAACCAATGTTGTCTAAGTGGATTACATACAAAAATAGAAGGATTTCATACATTATAAACAAAAATGCAATACAAATACTTAAAAGAATAATATACTCTTTTAAAAACCAGCAAACAACAGAGAAATTGATAAAAGTCTAGAACTACGTCATCGATATTTAAGTAGTGAGTGTGAGGCCTGAAAATGATCTATGTAATTTAACTTTCCCCAATCTGGTAACCTCCAGATGTGTAGAATGACAATGCCCAGCATCCGCACCTTCATGCACAAACCTTCCCTAATTGCTAGGCTGCTGATGAAGAGCATTGGCAGCCAAGTGGGACTTAAGTGCAATTGCGGAGTGTTCAGTCCTGGTTTTAGCAAGTATCTGATTCCTCTAGACAGGAGAGCCCTAGTGCTGGCTGTGGTGTCAGACTATGCCAGGGAAAGGGCCTTTTGTATAAATGTGCTCTGATACTCTCACAGTTTGACCTTGCTGACTTTGGCAAAATGCATCAAACACTGGATGATGTGCTTTATAACTGGTCTGAGATCAGCAGTAGGCAAGTTGTAGCCCTCCTGATCTGCAGGTCCCATCAGCCCTGGACGACAGAGCCAGGGTGTGGAATAGTAAGAACTGTGGAGGGCCACACGTTGCCTGCCCTGTTCTAGATAGTCTTTAACCATTTCTTTTGCATCTGTCTTTACAGAAATTCCATTCTCCAAGCCTATTCAGTGCACTGATGAACAAGCAGATGACCTTTGTAATCCTTGGGTTAAAAAGGAGATAAACAGGGATGTTCCACACTTCCCACAAGTCACACCAAGAGGAATGGGCCAAGAGGAGGAAGAGAACTCTGTGGAGTCCCTTTCTAAGTTTAACGTCAAATTCCCCCCTACAGACCATGATGTTACCTTTTTGGAGAGTACTCCAGATACTTCACCGATCGTATGCACAGCTGGGACTGGAAACTTGCTTCAGGATCAGCAGTTTAACCAGGACCTTGGAGACCAAGCTGCAAACTTCAGTGAGATGAAACATAACTTGTTTGAGGAGTGTGGCACTGATCCTAGTACATCAGCTGTGCATAACCTACCAAGTGCCTGCGTAATCAAACCACCAGCCCACACAAACACGATCCAGAGTCCTTTGGAAAAAGCTTTCTTATATAACCGTATACCCATAGTCTTCTCAAACCAAGATGTTCTCGAAATAAACTTTCCCCCCTTAGAAACAAATGAGAGAACTGGAGTGCCGCAACAGGTATTTATTGCTTTTATTTTATTTCTATACCACCTTTCTGAAGAGATTTGCACCACTGAAAAATAATACATAACCATCTCTGTAAATTGTTCTCCACCTCATCTTACATTGAGGCCAAGCTCAAAGCTTTCCATGCACTCTGATGCACACCCAGCCAGCAAAAGGCTTCTGTATTCTGCAGGCCCAGTCCAGCACTCCAAGCAGAACACAGTACGGATTGCATTGCATCCTACAGGAGTTTGCATCCTACAGGAGTTTTTTCTTGCAGCTAGGAAAAAGGCTCTGGATCAAGCACAAGGACAATTTTCAGCTGAAAAATGTTCATGGTTTAGATCTACAAAACCAATGTTTATCAATTGTCGTTTTCAGCCAAATATATTTCAGTTTCTACTTATTCCTAAGAATGTACAAGAATTTCAGTTTAGTTGACATAGCTGAACTTGTCCTACTTATGACTCCAGAAGACCGTTTGCCCCACACCACAAAAAGATGTTCACAGATTCCCAATCATTTAAATATATTTGTGTGTATGTGTGTGAGAGAGGAATTTTTTCTTATTATTTTTTTTCAAAACACAAACATTTTCATGCTAGGAAATATAGGGAAAGTGTGAAGATTTCCTGTTTGAACAAACTGAAAATCCATGTTACAAAGGAACACAGGAGTAAGCCAAACCAAACTTCAAAGTGTGAAATTAAGAGAATTTTGCCACATCCCTATATAAGCCTCCCATATTTGATGCTTCCATGAACAAGGAAATGTTTAGAGCTTCAGTTCTGAAGCAACTCCAGTTGGTTTACTCAAGTCTTACAAATAATGTTGCAGTGGGTACTTGCCATTCTCATTTTCTGTCCATTTCTCTTCTTTCTACTGCCCACCCATTCTGCTGCTTCCCCTCTTCCACTTTGCACCGCCTCATAGTTTCACTGCACCATCTAAGCAGGTACCATATTGCTGCTCTTCCGTTTAGAAAAAGGAGATGCAATCTCTCTCTTGCTAGTAGCAGAGCAGACTGCTATTGGGCTATAGTCCTATGCATATTTTAATAGGAAACAAGGCACCCATTGACTGACTTCTGATTCAACACGCAGGTCGTGCTGTACATGGATCCCAGATGGTTTCCATCCATGTAGTCATTTTACTTTTGAACCATATCGAATAAGAGAGGTGATCGAATATTTTCAGCAACTGTGGAATGAAATGAAGCATTTTAATCTGAGATACAGCACTAGTAAATAATCTTTTCCAATCATTTCTTTATGCACTGTGCTGTGGTTTACAAAATACTTTACAGTGGCATTGCTGTCATTCAAATTGACTAACCCTGTTTAAAACAAGTGAACTAGTGACTAAGTATCAACCAGATTAAAGAGGCTTGTCGATAAGGTAGCGCTAATGTAATTCTGAAATGGAAGCACTTATTTTATGAGCAAGTACCTCCTTTCTGCAAATCATTGCAGATTTAATCATTTATTAAATTATTTTAGTAGATTAAAATATTGCCTATTTTACCCAGTTTCATTATATAGTGTTTTTAACATTTAGGACCATATGACCAAATTTTTCAATTTGCCTTCTGTCTTATTTTAAAATAAGCATAATAAGCAGTACATTTATAATGTACAATTGATTATATATTGGTACTAAATCTTGCTTTTTTATATTAGGCATTACTTTTTCTATGGAATTGTTTGATGACTTAACAGTTTTTATTTTTCCTAATGTCAAATTCTGGGTTGATCTAGAACAAAACAAATTAAACTGTTCTATTACTAGTAAGAATTCCTGTGGTGTTTGTAAAACATCCATTCTATTACTTGTTACTTTCCCTTTTTCTCCAATATGTCTCCTGCTTGTTCTTTTAACTAGTTAGTCTGTGTATTCATTTCTCAATAGATGGCACCCTGTATTGTATATTAAAGCATGTGAAACAGCTGGTATGTGAATGCAAGTTGATAGAGAAGTATGCAGCTTTAAAAGCGTAGGGGAATTGGTGGTGTGAAGTTGGAAAACAACATATAAAAATAAAAGTTTAGCAGGATATATATTTGCAAATGTGAACGGCCAGTACTATAATTCAGTGGTCGCCAGGAAGCCTTCATATTTTAAGTGTTTATATTTGGGAAAGAAAACTGGCAACAGAAAATAGCTCCAATATTTGTTAGTTGTATCCAGGAAGGAATGTAGAACATAAGGCCTTTGATTAAAATTATGCCTCTTATCCAGAAACTTAGGCAAAAGAAGCCAATGTTACTTTTGAATCTATTAAATATGCAGCTGCATGTATCTGTTTAAATATTGTTATAGTCTTTGTTATCTAAAAATTTTACATAACTTTTTATTCGAAAAGATGGAGGGTCATTTATAAAGGATTGAAATCTCTGTATGTCAAGTCCAGCTAAACAGTAGGGAGAGAGGAAAAAGCACCATCCTTTTAAATGCATGCGCACGCCTATTTATCAGTGGTATGAAACGTGTGGGTTTCATTTGCTAAAAACAATGGTCCTGTTTCCTGATGCTTGTTTTAAAGTTCCTGACCTTTTAGTGGGAAAACTGCAATAAATCTCTGGCTGGAATCTTCCGCTGATATCCACAGGCCCTGATGAACTGCAGAACTGACCTAATGTCAGTGCTGGACCAAGATGGAGCAGACAGGACAATGACATTGTCCTCTCCTAATTGAGCAGGCCACCTCGTTCCGTTTAATAGCTATGAAGAGTGACTTGAAGACAACTTGCAGGCAGCTTTCCATCCTGCCTGCATCGTAGCGTTAAAACGCTTGGGTCCTTGCAGACAGAATGCACCATTGCTGACGTCCTCGTAGTGCTGATTTACATGCCTGATGTTTCGCCACCCCTTCCCCCAGCAAACAAGGACCTTCTGTCATATATTTAGTACATGTGTTAACAAATAAAGACGAGGAGGGGAAACTTAAATGCAGTGTAATTGGCAACCATAAGTCGTTAGAGCTGCAGCTCTCAGTTGATATAATAAATTTAGCTCTTCCTTGCAGATACTAAATATAAAAACTTGAGTCTGCTTCCTTAGTATATTGCAGTTTCTTAAACACCTGGATTGAAAACTGTAATACTGAAAAAAATGTAGACTAAATTGAAGGATTGGGATTCTGATGCTTGTCTGCATTCTGTGACATCCAGGGAACTGGTTCAGCAAGTAGAGCTGCAGAATTTAATAAAAGCAAATACTAAGAACATCTCCAGCACTTTAAAAATGTGGAAGTAGCACTATTTCCACAAAATGTGCATGAATCTATACTTAATTTTGCAGAAAAATATCTGCATATATTAATTGATCTTTAGAGTCCAAATCTTCCCTTTTGATGACCACCCAGCCCCCAAAGTTTGGTGATAACTGCAAACCAATATCTTTTTTTTAAGTAAATCAAAATAATAAGAGCTGCACGGATTAAATAGTCAAACTGCAGTGTTAATTCATTAATGAGGGAGTCACATTTTGATAAATAAGGTGCAAGTTAAGGATACACATGTTTATTTTTAAGGTTATTTTGGTGCTGATGTGCTACTGAAATAGAAACAATAGGCGCTTACTCCTATTTGTTAAATTGTAAGCTCTCTTATGCTTCCTTCAGTATCTAAGCAAAATGAATCTGGTATTTTGTGGTAGTATGCAATGTATATAATTGAATAAAAGATGAATAAATAATTGGTTGAAGCTTTAATAATTCTGTAAATATGCATAATTCCATCAAATACTGCTATCAGCAGAGATTCAAAAGAAAAACTACCACAATATTTACTTATGCCTACAATGAACAATTATGCCTGAATAATAAATGCTTTGTTCAGCAAGCACACTTGCACAAGAGGCTTGGGATACTGGACAGCAGTGCAGCCCCAGACAAGTCTTCCTAGAAGTAAGCCCCACTGGGTTCAGTGGGGCTTGCTTTCAGTAAGGCATAGAGATTTGCAGCCTGATTCAAGATCAAAACCCAGTGAGTCAAAATTCTTAAGATGAGGCCCTCTGGCTTGATGAAAAACTACAAGAATAGCACGAATATTGTGACCATCTAATCATGCCTCCTCTTATGGTTATTAAAACTGCCAGCTTAAATCAAGGTGGAGCTGCAAATAAGTAATTAAAAGCACACTTTCGTGGTGATGTTTAAAACACGCATCAGTGCCTAGACAGGTTTCTGAAGCAATTTACACCAACAAAAAGTAGACTGTTTGTTAGAACTTGATGTAATTACACCTAATTAGCCTGTGTTCTGCAAGGATTGATGACTGACCACAGTAAAAATATCCACAATAGAAATCTGCCGAGGCCTTGTGACAAATATTAAATATTGTTTAGACAAAGAATTAACTCCTACAAGAAACTGTGGCTGCTGGTTCTCTCCCTTTCTGGCTTTTAATGAACCACTGTCTTGTGTTTCAGAGCTTTTGAGACTCTGGGACATATTAATGACATGGGGTGCTGCTCACATGTGAGAGAGAGAGAGAACCTAGTTAACTTGTTCTAGCTCTAAATACTCTTTGCCCTTCCCAAGTATGTATTAAGGTTGTGGCTACAGAAATCATACCCTTTACCTTGTGTCCTTGTCTCTTCTTTTCTGATAGAAGTTTAACAATTCTAACATTATTCAAAAAGTTTATTGAATGATCAGAGAGCAAAGTCTTGGACAAAATGAGAATAGCAGCATAAGAATAAGTACCAAGTGATCACTATGAGTCAGTGGGAAATACCAAAAAAATTACATTGGAAGATTGCAGAAGAGAAAGTGTAACTCCAGAATGATAGCTGATGCATTTTTTACATGCTCATCTTATACCTTTCCTTCCATGAATACAGAATGAAAATCTTTCTCTAATAGCATGTTTGGTAAACCATTGCTTTATATATAAGACATTGGTAAAATGTTTTTTTTAATACAGTGCCATTTAAGTCAGAACTTTATATAATATCAATACCAGTGCCTTAAACTTCAGCATAGATGGAACTATTTTTTTTTCTTGTGACCTTGGAGAAAAGACTACATACATACTTCAGTCAAATGAAATACTTGTTGTATTTAGAGTATATGTTCGTTTGTTGTATATTTTTAGATATACCAAAACCAGAATAATCCTTACCTAGTTAAAAATAAAACAAAAAACTAACATTCATTTTACACAAAGTACTAACTTCTCCCACTTTCTTACAGCCTCTCTGGAATTCATTGGCACGTCCTTCAGCAGACTCGGAACTTGATCAGCCTGAAATATGTGAATTCTGTCAACAAATGTTCCCACCATCTCATACGTCCAGGGAGGACTTTTTGAGACACCTGAATTCACACTTCAACTTGAAATCTTAGTGTCACTGGAACACAGATAAGTTTTATTTAAACTGAAGCCTTGTGGGTTGCTGTTCTTCGATTTTCAGTCCCAATACACAGAGTAATTTCAGAAGGTAAGGCTGATAAGAGAATCGATCCAAACCCTGATGGCTTATTGTTAATACAATTAAAGCAGATTTGGAAGGTAGAGAAGGAAATGGTGTACAAACTATCCCAACAGCTTGTTCTTCTCAAAATTTGGCTGGGAAAGTAGAGAAATGAAGATTATGACCATCCAGCTTGAAAACAAGAACTGCATGAACATTATTTGGACAGGGAGTTTGAAACTTTGCTACTATTGTGCCTTTGTTTTTCTATTCAACTGCTATTCACTGGGTTGCCTTTGAACATTTGTCTTTTTTACCATGAATATATGTACTTGGAAGGAAGTACTACTTATTTCAGTACTTGACTCCTATCATATAGGTATGATAGGGACACAAGTTAAGCACTTAATTGTGTACTTTTTCTTCCTGAGACCCATCATGTTGAAGTGTGCCTGCCACCTGTGCAGGCCTATTGGCAAGGAGTAGCAACATGCCATTGACATTCCAGTCTTTCCTGCTGATAACTGGTATACTGTTTAATATGACATGGAAATGGGACAATTCATTTGGTGAATACATTTAAACAGAACATGTGCATGACATTTTTATGGACAGAAGTACTTTACCCATAGCCTATGTCATGTTTGTTGTTGTTGGGAACAGAATAAAGAGAAATATAGAGCAGTTTGTAATTTTTCCTTGCTTTGTTTCGGGATTAGTGAACATCATTTATTACTTCAGCATGTGATGTCACTTGATAACACCACTCTATTAAAGCTGCTACTAGGACTAAGGACCCCCATGTCTTAAACCTAAATATTGTTGTTTATGACCTGCATGGAATAGTCAAGATTGAACTGTGGTGTTGGATTTAAGCTACAGTTATTGGATTTGAATAATCACTGGGGAATTTCCTTTCTTCCACCTACTCTCACCCCAAAAAATATTGTCTAAAAGAATGAGAAGTTGCCTCTCTGTAACCTTTGTGTGCATAAGCCAGATTGCTGGATGCCATCGACTTTGTAACCTGCCACAGGAACTCTTGGGAAGGGAAATCTGTGTACAAGAAATTTGTATCTGCACAGATTACCTTCATTTGGAAGAGGACCTGCCTCAATCCAGTATATTTAACCAATACCCTACTGTGTATCAGTAAAGCATAGTAGCATTAATACTTCATACAATGTTAGTGTTATGGGACCAAGGGCTGTACCACTTGGTAGAACACATAATTTGCATTCAAAAGTTCCCCAGTTCAATCCCTGACATTTCTAGGTAAGACTAGGAAACTCTAGAGAGCCATTTCTACTTGGTATAGATCATGCAAAGTGGGAGAGTGGTCTGACTCTGTGTAAGGCCACTTCCTTTGCTCCTGTCTTTATCCAGCCAGGCCTTTTAAGGGAAGCCGGGCACCCTGAGTAACCCAGTATTCTTGGATCTTTCATTTCCAAAGCTTGCTTGTACTTTCCCTACAGGTATCTTCTCTAATTCCCAATCTTCCTTTCTAGTTTTTGGCTTATGTAAAGAAAGCTGGAACCCTACCACATTTCAGCCCATGTGTTCCTAATTCAGGCAGGAACCGTTAGCAGTTTCCCAGGTACTAAACAAGGAAAGATTAGGGGAAAGAACTCTGTGCACCCTCTAGAAATGTTAGTGACTAAAAGTTGTAACTGTGGGCAATTTGGAGAAGGAATAGGCAGATTAGGTCTAATGTTGGGTCTGACTTAAGGACTGTTCATTTCAATGGGTCTGTTCTGATTCGGACTATCGTTGGATAAAAACTGTAGCTCAGCAGCAGATTACATGCTTTTCATGCAGAAGATCCAAAGTTCAGTTTTCATTATCTCCTTTTTTAAAAATAAATTTCACTATTTTTTTCTAGAAACTAACATTAAAAGCATCAATCATTTAAGACATCGGACATACTGGGTCAGCATCTCACTCTTTCCAAAAATCCATAACTATATTCAAATCTACACATAGCCCCGTTTCTCTAGCCAATAGTAAAAGAAGTTCCAGGTTGGATAGAACTATGTATCCTCCTCCTCCTTCAGAGACAAGGTCAATCTGTCCATTTCTGCGCAGTCCAAAATCTTTTTTAAGATCACTTCTTCAGTATGTGGCTCTTCACTCCTCCAATGTTGGGCAAATACAATCCTCGCCGCAGTAATTACATGTAGAATCAGGTATATAGCTTGTTTATCAAAGTCATCAGAAATAATGCTAATAGAAAAACTTCATGTTTAAATGTTAAAGGTTTTTGTAACATTTCCTCAAGCCATTTATGTATTTTAACCCAGTATTTTTTTGCCTTGTCTCAAGTCCACCACATATGATAAAAGTAGCAGGTTTATGTTTACATTTCCATCATCCATTTGACATATTTGGGAACATTTTTGCTAGTCTATTTGGTGATAGATATCATCTATAAAACATTTTATAAAGGTTTTCTTTATATGAAGTTGCTAAGGTTATCTTACTATTTCTTTCCCACACCGTTTGCCATTTCTGTAACTCAATTTTATATCCAAAGTTTTGTGCCCATGTTATCATAGTTTCCTTAACTTGTTTGTCTTCCATTCTCATGCCCAAAAGAAAGTTATACAATCTTTTAATCATTTTTATCTGATTTTAAGATTATTTGATCAAATATTGTTAATTCCTTATAAAAACCACACATTTTATAGTCTTTAACATATCTCGATTGTATTTGAACCTTATGCCACCAAAATTTTCATTATCTCCTTAAGTGGATTAGGAGCAAATAAAAGGAAAGGCCTCACCCCACACCTGCCTGAGACACAGCTGTGCTGGTGCTCCTGTCACTGTCCCCAGCCCGAGCAGGCGCTATTGGACTAGATTGACCAGGATGCAGAACTGGTGTCCCTGGATGCAAATCTCTGTTTTCTTTCAAAAGTCACCTCTGATCAGTCAATTGGTCTAAGATGAACGTTATAAATACTCAGAACATATTCTGCCCACACCAGCATTTAGCTTTTATGTGTAGGGTTTCAATTTTTAATTTAAAGAAGTTCATTTTCAGCACAGGTGAAGTCATTTTTCCTGTCAATTGACCTGGGACAATTAAGAAAAATGCACAGATCACAATGCAGGATTTTACCGAAACTTGATAACTTTTGCAAAGTGGACTGAACTCTTTTAGTCCAGATTGTAATCATTGCATAGGAATGAGTTTTATTAGGTTGTCTATATATGCTGGTAGGGGTGGGAGGGGGTTCCGTTTCTCCAATATCTAGTACTTTTATGAAATGCCCATTTTACAACTCAACAAAGGGCTACGAGAATGAATGTCTTGCATAATTTTTAACTCATTTGGCTATACAAACATCTTTCTGCAACTTTGGTTACAACCTCTCATCTGTCTTTGACAAGTTGTTAACTGCCTTTGTGCTAAAATAAACGGTACTGTGCAGGGTTTTGTCTCTGGTGTGACCCAGACTGTGTCTTTCGTTTTATTGTAATAAAACTACTGTGCCAAGCCTTTTACAAATGTGTGTATGACTTAACTGGGTCTGAGACCTCTCCTTTGGCTTGCTTACAAATTATGCTTTTAAGGGTGTATTTTGAAAAGCAAAAGAATTACACTTCCTGGAAACAGCTTCTGAACCTTAAGTTTTAAGATGTGTGACACAATGACAAGATAACAAAGGAAGAAACACTTTTAAAATGAACAAAATATGTATTTTGTACTATCTTAACTTTCTACACATTTCTAGTCTTTAAATTTTTCATCATCATGCAGGTATCAACCCTTTCAATAGCAAACTCGGTGCCCTGTGCCTACAGAAATGGAGGCCACATTCTTGCGGCACGGAGAGGACACCCACATTTGCGGAAGTGCAAGGAGAATTTAAAGTCATGCAGAGAAGAAACTAAAAGGAAGGCATACATTCCCCCCACCTTACTCAATTCCACCCCAGGAAAACCAACCCAGTGAAGTGAGGCAACTGATTGGAACTTGTGAAGGGATTGCTCATTGTTAGTTATTTCATATATTATCATTTATTCTGCCAAAGATAGAGAGGTACTTGTGCGATTTTTCTGTCCTAAATACCAAATTAAGTTGATCGGGCTTAACTACTCTGCCCTTTCATTTGGGACAGGGAGGTACTATTTGCTATTCCATCTGGGACAGCAAAATGGTTTGCCCTGCTTATTGGAAGCAAAAATGACAAAACTGAATCTGTTGTCTTCTCATGTGCCTGAAGTACAAGACTCAATGGCGAAGACAATCACGCTAAGGAAAGTTGAAGGCAAAAGAAAAAGAGAAAGACCAGCTATGAGACAGATCAGTTCCATAAAGGAAGCCACAGCCTCAAGTTTGCAAGAGCTGAGCGGGGCTGTCAAGGAGAGGACATTTTGGAAGGCTTCATTCATAGGGTTGCCATAGGCCCGATGGCAGCAGCAACAGCCCTGCTTGTGGTACACCAGAGGAAAGCTTGGCTGCTGCAACCTTGAACCTGTTCAGATCCTGTTCTGGGGGAGCGGGGCAACATTGTTGCTGATTTCTGTTGCTGATTACAAAGAAAACACTCATCAAGAGGAGCCTGCAGGTACTTTTTCTAGGTGTGCAGAATGCCACACTTGTTTTTGTTTCTTCTAGTACCGAACCTCATAAGATCTTTGTGTACATTACTGTGTGACGTTTGGCTCTGATGTGAAGGAGACAAATGTGCAACCTGAGTGAAGGCCAGTCTGATATTACTTTCCCGGGTGTGGCTAAAGCTGCCAGAAGCAACATCTGCTCTATTACATTCACCAAGGTAAGCTCAAGTAATAGCATTTACACACTACTTTTGCTTGGCAGGAGAGAAGAGACTGGGCCCCAAAACAATTATTGTGAAAGTGGTGGAAGAAAGGAGAAAATGGGGAACAGACTTTTTTTCCCCTCTGCTTTCTCCCACCTTAGATGAGGTGCCAGTGCATTGCTGCTGTTTCCAAACTCTCATAACGATCTTGTGAAGCACGCATGTTCGGACTCTCCTAAGCACAGTGTGGCTGCAGGAACAAGTTGGATGGCAGCATGAAGTTGGACCCAGACTTTCTGGGCAAGACCCCCCACTTTCCATGGTCCCCATCACTCGCTCCACTGCCACACTTCGGCAACAGCTGCTCTTGTGCTTCTTCCATTTCCTTTTCATCACTGGTGCCACTTAACCTGCTAGATAGTCATAGCAGCCGCTGCTCCTTCTCACCACCATCACCATCTAGGCCAGCACTGAGGGGCAGGTGGATGTGCGAGTTACACCTGCAAAGAGAACTGTTATCAGTAGACCCTTTGTAGGTGCCCGACCATGCCTACTCCTGATTCTGTACTAGGAAGATGACCTGGGAATCCCAAGTATGCCCCCTTGACCTTCATGAAGAAAGAAAGATGGGAAATAAATCTGTTGGGTAAGTAGTTCTCTTAAACTTCACGTGTCACATCCAGTGGTGGAGACACTCTTACCACTTCCCTGGACTTCCGACTGGGCAGAGAAGAATGGAGATGACTTTGTTTGTTTGTTTATTAAAACATTTCTATGCTGCCCCATTCGCCGAAGCCTCAGGGCGGCTCACAACATAAAATTAAAATACAAGAAATAACAATATAAAATAAGTATGGACAGCCAGCTCAGTGGGGCGTTGCCCCTCGATCCCTGGCTCCTGCCTCTCCCTCACAG